GAAACTTACTGATAATCTGGTAGGTTTTAGTCTACTTTTTGTTTAATCCGCATTAGTTTGGTACACAATTAGTACCCTAGTGCCACCAGCACCACTAAAAAGCAGTTTTCACTAAAAAACAGTTTCTAATATCTAGTCATAAAATATTTTAGTATTTGAGACACCCAGTGGTCATATTTTGAGATTTGAGATTTTGAAACGTGCTGATAGTCTGGCAGGCATTAGTCAATTAGTCTGCATTAGTCGGCAATAGTCTGGTACACAATAAATTCCCTAGTAACCCCAACGCCACTAAAACAATCAATTTTCATTTAAAAACAGTTTCTAAAAAACTAGTCATAAAATGTTTTAGTAATTGAGACACCCAGTGGTTGTGTTTTGAGATTTGAGATTTTAAAACACACTTGTAATCTGGTAGGCTTTAGTCAATAATTCCACATTTGTCGGCAATAGTCTGGTACACAATTATTACCTAGTCGGGTTTAGTCGGCATTAGTCTGGTACACAATTAGGCCCCTAAAAACAGCTTTTTACCAAAAAACGGTTTTCAATAAACCAGTCATAAAATGTTTTTTGTTTGAGGCACTCAGTGGTCATTTTTTGAGATTTGAGATTTTGAACTTTACTGATAATCTGGTAGGCCTTAATCAATTAGTCTACATTAGTCGGCATTGGTCTGGTACACAGTTAGTCCCCCAGTGCCCCCAACATCACTAAAGTTAAGTTTTCACTAAAATAAAGTTTCTAATAAGTTAGTCATAACATGTTTTTGTATTTTAGACACCCAGTGGCCAATATTTGAAATTTGAGATTTTGAAAATTACTGATAATCTGGTCGGCATTATTCAATTGGTCTGCCTTAGTCGGCATTGGTCTGGTACACATTTAGTCCCCTAGTGCCCCCAACATCACTAAAATCAAGTTTTCACTAAAAAGCAGTTTCTTATAAATTATTCATGAAAAATTTTTGTATTTGAGACACCCAGTGGTCATATTTTGTAACTTGAGATTTTTAAAATTCCTGATAATCTGTTAGGCATTAGTCAATTGGTCTATATTAGTCGGCACTAGTCTAGATCACAATTAATCCCCTAGTGCCTTCAACATCACTTAAAATAAGTTTTCACCAAAAAGCTGTTTCTAATAAATTAGTCATAAAACGTTTTTGTATTTGAGACACCCAGTGGTCATACTTTGAGATTTGAGATTTCGAAATTTACTGATAATGTATGTATGTATGTATGTATGTATGTATGTATGTATGTATGTATGTATGTATGTATGTATGTATGTATGTATGTATGTATGTATGTATGTATGTATGTATGTATGTATGTATGTATGTATGTATGTATGTATGTATGTATGTATGTATGTATGTATGTATGTATGTATGTATGTATGTATGTATGTATGTATGTATGTATGTATGTATGTATGTATGTATGTATGTATGTATGTATGTATGTATGTATGTATGTATGTATGTATGTATGTATGTATGTATGTATGTATGTATGTATGTATGTATGTATGTATGTATGTATGTATGTATGTATGTATGTATGTATGTATGTATGTATGTATGTATGTATGTATGTATGTATGTATGTATGTATGTATGTATGTATGTATGTATGTATGTATGTATGTATGTATGTATGTATGTATGTATGTATGTATGTATGTATGTATGTATGTATGTATGTATGTATGTATGTATGTATGTATGTATGTATGTATGTATGTATGTATGTATGTATGTATGTATGTATGTATGTATGTATGTATGTATGTATGTATGTATGTATGTATGTATGTATGTATGTATGTATGTATGTATGTATGTATGTATGTATGTATGTATGTATGTATGTATGTATGTATGTATGTATGTATGTATGTATGTATGTATGTATGTATGTATGTATGTATGTATGTATGTATGTATGTATGTATGTATGTATGTATGTATGTATGTATGTATGTATGTATGTATGTATGTATGTATGTATGTATGTATGTATGTATGTATGTATGTATGTATGTATGTATGTATGTATGTATGTATGTATGTATGTATGTATGTATGTATGTATGTATGTATGTATGTATGTATGTATGTATGTATGTATGTATGTATGTATGTATGTATGTATGTATGTATGTATGTATGTATGTATGTATGTATGTATGTATGTATGTATGTATGTATGTATGTATGTATGTATGTATGTATGTATGTATGTATGTATGTATGTATGTATGTATGTATGTATGTATGTATGTATGTATGTATGTATGTATGTATGTATGTATGTATGTATGTATGTATGTATGTATGTATGTATGTATGTATGTATGTATGTATGTATGTATGTATGTATGTATGTATGTATGTATGTATGTATGTATGTATGTATGTATGTATGTATGTATGTATGTATGTATGTATGTATGTATGTATGTATGTATGTATGTATGTATGTATGTATGTATGTATGTATGTATGTATGTATGTATGTATGTATGTATGTATGTATGTATGTATGTATGTATGTATGTATGTATGTATGTATGTATGTATGTATGTATGTATGTATGTATGTATGTATGTATGTATGTATGTATGTATGTATGTATGTATGTATGTATGTATGTATGTATGTATGTATGTATGTATGTATGTATGTATGTATGTATGTATGTATGTATGTATGTATGTATGTATGTATGTATGTATGTATGTATGTATGTATGTATGTATGTATGTATGTATGTATGTATGTATGTATGTATGTATGTATGTATGTATGTATGTATGTATGTATGTATGTATGTATGTATGTATGTATGTATGTATGTATGTATGTATGTATGTATGTATGTATGTATGTATGTATGTATGTATGTATGTATGTATGTATGTATGTATGTATGTATGTATGTATGTATGTATGTATGTATGTATGTATGTATGTATGTATGTATGTATGTATGTATGTATGTATGTATGTATGTATGTATGTATGTATGTATGTATGTATGTATGTATGTATGTATGTATGTATGTATGTATGTATGTATGTATGTATGTATGTATGTATGTATGTATGTATGTATGTATGTATGTATGTATGTATGTATGTATGTATGTATGTATGTATGTATGTATGTATGTATGTATGTATGTATGTATGTATGTATGTATGTATGTATGTATGTATGTATGTATGTATGTATGTATGTATGTATTTATGTATGTATGTATGTTCAAATGTAAGTATGTTTGTATCTATGTATGTATGTATGTATGTATGTATGTATGTATGTATGTATGTATGTATGTATGTATGTATGTATGTATGTATGTATGTATGTATGTATGTATGTATGTATGTATGTATGTATGTATGTATGTATGTATGTATGTATGTATGTATGTATGTATGTATGTATGTATGTATGTATGTATGTATGTATGTATGTATGTATGTATGTATGTATGTATGTATGTATGTATGTATGTATGTATGTATGTATGTATGTATGTATGTATGTATGTATGTATGTATGTATGTATGTATGTATGTATGTATGTATGTGTGTATAGATGTATGTACGTATCTTTGTATATATCTATGAGCGATTTAATATATATTTAAAAAAAACGCTCAAAAAGCCGCTCAAGATTTAAGCGGTTTGAGCGGTTTTTTTAGACAATTAAGCTCAAAATATTGCTTCTAAATGAGCGGTTTTTGAAAAGTTTATCGAAAAAAACTGCTCAAAAACCGCGCAAGATTTGAACGGTTTCAAGCGGTTTATCTGAAAAAAACGCTCAAAAACAGGCTCGAAAACCGCGCAAGATTTGAACAGCCTTTGAGCGGTTTTTCTAGATAAACCGCTCAAAAACCGCGCAAGATTTGAACGGTTTCTGAGCGGTTTTTTCAGTTAAACTGCTCAAAACCGTTCAAATCTTGCGCGATTTTTTAGCGGTTTTTTAAGATAAACCGTTCAAAAACCGCTCAAACCGCTCATTTTGAAGCAAGATTTTGAGCGTAATAGTTTAAAAAAAACGCTCGAACCGCTCAAATCTTGTTTCAAATTAAGTGAAAAATCTCGAATCGGGTATGATCTAATACCGGTCAGTGGTCAAGATCAGCACGATTGATTGCCTCATGACACTATCTTAATTTCAGTGTGTGCTGGTTAAGTGAATTCACATCTAAAATTATTCGTATACTCAGAAAAAAAGACGCAATTGTAAGAATTCAGTATAAAGATCACCAATTTAACACGATCATGAGATATCACAGTTGGTAAATGCATATTGCAAAACTTTGAAAAAAGGCTGATAGCCATTAAGTTTTATTAATACGAAATCAAATGACATGTACTTTCTCAAAAACTCTGTGGTGAGGGAATTGCATATTTTATATGCTGAGGTAAACTCGGGTGGTTAGCTTGACAGGGAAGGACTAAAATAGGGAATATATGCGTTTCGAACCCACAAACTTGGTGTTGCCAGGTCTTCGCAGTCAATTTTCATCAAAAAAGTCAATCAGACCATTAACTGAACTTTTGTTCACAATAATAGGGGACCACTGGAAACAGCATATGTTTACGTTTCAAGGCCTCACGTACAAACTTTTGCCCTCTCATGTATTCTCAATCCTTTCACCATTTTAATTGAAAAAAAAACAATCACTTCAGCGATTGATGTTTTTGTAAGGATGGAGGAAGTCCTGGAAACATCAGATATAAGTCTAATTATTAATCCTCAACCAAGCACGGAGTAGAACGATGAGCTTTATTTTTCAAACCACAAGCATGTGATATTTTCATAGAAGTATGATAATGTTTACCTTTACGATATACGTTTTGTTTGTAGAAAACCTATTGGTAGTAAAACGTAAGATTGATGACAATTTGATTTTTGTTAGCTAAGAAGGCACAGAATCTGTTTGAAATAACAATTTTGCACATTTATTCTGACTCACGTGTCTTTGACGAGGATCCCAGTTCCATCCAGTTCAAACATACTACTCTTCTTCTGTGCAAATTATACTCAAAACTATCAGCTCCACTTCAAATATGCTCAAGTTAGGCGAACAACTTTTTTCTGCTTTTTCAGATATAATCAATGAAAGACCACAGCCAAAAACATAAAACATGCAGCACACACAAAAATGGTGATGTGTTGGTTTAAACATGCAGCACTATAACAACGCAAAACACGGTGCAAAATCAGTTTAACTCAGTAATTCATGGCCACGTCTTATAAAAAAAAGAGAAAAAGAAAGAAAATGCAGGGGAACAACAGATGTGTGTGTATGTGTGTGTGTGTGTGTGTGTGTGTGTGTGTGTGTGTGTATATGTGTGTATCTGTGTGTGTGTGTGTGTATGTGTGTGTGTGCGCGTGTGCGTTTCATGGCCTGGATCACGAATATGCGGTTTCCAGGTCTTCCCCACCATTTTGAGCTATAAAAAGTTAACTTATCTGTTAATGGCATAAGATGATGGAGAAGTCAGATGTCTCCAGATCTTCCCCGAGTCGAGATTTTTCACCTAATTTGAGCAAGATTTGAGCGGTTTGAGCGGTTTTTTTAGACAATTACGCTCAAAATATTGCTTCAAAATGAGCGGTTTGAGCGGTTTTTGAACGGTTTATCTAAAAAAACCGCTCAAAAACCGCGCAAGATTTGAACGGTTTTGAGCGGTTTATCTAAAAAAACCGCTCAAAAACCGCTCAAATCTAGCGCGGCTTTTGAGCGATTTTTTTAGATAAACCGCTAAAAACCGTTCATATCTTGAACATGTTTAGAGATCTGTTTTTGGATTGCAGAGACCCACTCACGCACACCAAAATGTGTGCCTATCCTACGCACAGTTCGGCTTCGTAATCAAAGTTACTTTGTTAATTTAGGGCTTTTTTTCCGAGGCCTGAAACTCTTATTTGATATACCCATTCTTTTCTCCAAACTTTTTGGTGAAAGAAGCAATCGCTCAAATAATGTTTGTTACACTTAAAGTTTTGGATGGCGCGGACCGGAGATGCCCTGTCCGACGATCCCATGCTTCCTTTCTGTGCTGAAAAAAACGCGCTTTTCAAACTGTATGCCCGTATCCGCTGTTCCAATGCTTCATTCCTGTGCTGACAAAAGACGCGCTTTTCAACCAAAACTTTTCAATACTCTCCTTGTTTTAAATGCAAGTATAGTCCAAATTTTTATTGACCTTATTTGCCCGGCCACAACCTCAACCCCGAAGAGTGAGGATCGGAGCAATTTTGAAGAGGTGCCTTACGAATTGGTCCGATAGGGTTCAAACAGTTGCAAAGCGAGCGAACTTTTCTTTAACGTAGTGCTAATCAGTTACACGACCTAAAGTGTAGTGCCCTTGACGGCTGCAGGGATCGATGTTCCAGACGAGGTTACCAGTTCGTAAATCGCGGCTGGAATCGGCATGCCATTTCGATCGCTTGTTCAAGGAAAGGAGATACTCCTTCTGCCAACGCTGCCATTTGGCTTTTGCATAAGCCTGTGTTCCAACATAGCGCTTGCGGTCGTCAAAATTTTCATCAAGTGTTGGCGACGAAAAAATAACTGAGTTGAAAATAACTGAGGAGAAGATGCTTCTAATTCAGTGGAATCGAGACGACCAGGCGTTTTTAGACGGGTTTGTAAAGGTTGCTTCACTGAACAAAATATGGTCGACAAAACCTCATCCGTTAACTTGCGAACCAATGTTTGCGTAGAAAACACCTTTGCAAATGCGCACTAACCTTTCCGAAAAAAGCCACCATGATGCGGCACGCCATGAGGATTGTGTTTCCATTGGGGCCCCTGATGCACTAACGAAGCGGGAGCTTGTCCGTTCCAACTCTCGATGCAAAGCAGAAGTTCTTTCTCAGCTCTAACGAAACTGGTACCGTTGTCTGACCACATAATACTTTGCGTACGACGGCGACACATCTTTCAATCTTCGTGACGCAAGAGTCGCTGTCCAAAGGCGGAATAGTATCGATGTGTACGGCAGTGTAGTCATGAAGGTGAATTGTCTATGATTGTCTATGCTTTGAAAGGCGACACATTGCCTTACAGGAAGCTCGGACCCCTGACCCAATTGTTTACTTTTAGGCGTTCCGTCGTATTTCCGCGTGTCGCAATTTACGCGGGGTTATTTCCTTTTTTTACAGGAAACCATTGATCCACAGTGGTGAGGTTTTTTCTTTCACAAACACGGTTTGCTACACAAGTCGGTAAATAATCGTTAAAGTGAAGCCATTGTAGCACCGCGGTGCTATCGGTCCGCAGAAAAGATGCCAATTTCATTGGTTGAAAGTGCCTTTGGAATGGAAAAAAACTTTCAGTGGAAAAAAGTTCAGTTTTTTCAGTCTCAATAACGCGGGCACGAAGAAAAGCAACCAGGCAAAATACAAATTTCGAGCTATCCCCGAACATATGGAGCTCAACTTGATGAAATGGTTTACTGAAGTAGCACAGGGGATTGAAAGTTTCGCCTAAGTTAAACAGATTTCACGGCCACTCTTGAGCACTACTAGTGAGGGACCATTTCAATTGTTGCCCAGTTGTGCGACAAATGTCCTTGTCCTTAAGAAGCAGGCCGTCCCTTACCTTTTAGGGAACCACCAAAACAATAAGATGGAAGATCGATGAAACAAAATTCCGAACAATTTGTTACATAACTGATGTTTGGAGCCCATGGTCCATTCCATGACTAACAACAGAAAAGTCACTTCCATGGTGCCATTAACAACAACATTTACGACTTCAAGTGGTCACTACCACTCACAATGTACTTTAATTTTGCAAGTACATCAAATGAGGAATTCAACTTCTTTTAAATAGCTGGAGCGTTGCTAGAATTTTTGGTTAGACTCAATTCCCCCATTTTATGAAGGTTCACCATATCCTTGCTTTTTTCAATGCGTCGTCTCAAAACTCGACTCAACCGAGGTAATCATCCATTTAGAACCTAGTAAAAACTGCTTTAGATGCTTCAGGAAAATTTTCAGCTTTATCCCTAGCTGTTCGCTGAAGTGCGAAGTTTGCTCACGTCGGGGAGTTCTGGGCACCGAAAACATGCCGGTTGTACTGAAACACTTCCAAATCCGTAGTGGAATCACCCAAAATGAGAGCGTTATCGGTTTTTGACCCAGATGACACACTTAGCTCAACAATCTAGAGAAGACCTTTAACAACCTAAACGGATGTGGAACAAAACGAAGTTGACTTTCTGCCGGCTTTTTGTTCAGGTAGAAGACTTGTTTTTTTCCTTTCGAGGAGAAAAAAGCAGTCTGCACCATGCAGGAGAACACTTAATAGGTGTAGTGCATATCCTAGCCTTCGGGCGAATACGGAACACATGTCCGCTGGTGGTCCGCTTGGTGTTCCGTTTTTACGCTGGAACACATGTTTCTTCCGCGTAAAACTTCGCCGTTTGAGTACAGTTTTTTTCCTTTGGGACCTTGAGAACCCATAGCAGATGTTTAATAGCGCACTGCGGGCTTTAAGGATAATCAAACTTGTTCGCCAATGAACTGGATGCAAAACTCGGGTGGCATTTTTTTCTTTTCGGCGTTTCCATGCGTTTCGGCGTTTTCTTTCAACCAATCGTAGAAATCAAAGAGTATAGGGCAACGTTTTTTTCTCAAAAGTTTGATAATTTTTACCTTTACGATAAGTTTTTTGTTTTTGAAAAAATCTAATGGTAGTGAAACGTAAGATTGATGTCAATTTGAATTTTGTTACCTAAGAAGGCGCAGAATCTGTTTGAAATAACAATTTTGCACAGTTATTCTGACTCACGTGTCTTTGACGAGGATCCCAGTTCCATCCAGTTCAAACATACTACTCTTCTACTGTGCAGGTTATATTCAGAACTATCAGCTCCACTTCAAATAAGCAAACAACCCTTTTTCTGCTTTTTCAGATATAAACAATAAAAGACCACAACCAAAAACAAAAAAAAATGATGCACACACAAGATTGGTGATTTGTTATTTTAAAAAAGCAGCGCTATAACAAGGCAAAATACGGCGCAAAATCTGTTAAAATCAGTAAAATGGCCACCTCATGGCCACGTCCTATAAAAATAGAGAAAAAGAAAGAAAAAATGCAGGGGAACAGCAGATGTGTGCGTGTGTGTGTATTTTGCATTTCATGGCCTGAATCACAATTCTGCGAATCTCAGGGCTTCCCCGCCTTTTTAGCTAGAAAAGACTAACTTATCTTTTATTTGGTGTTTTTGGTTTAAGATGATGGAGAAGGCAGATGTTTCCAGATCTGCGGTATTCTAGGGCAGTTAAATTAATTTTTTTTCCTTAAAAATTCAAAAAAAAAAATTTTTGTTTCAGGCTATGAATTGCAGATATCTGCTCTCACTTGATGTTACCAGTTTTTTTTTTAGCAAAAAAGGACTTTGTTCAGTTTTTTGCTTAAATTAATTGGAAAAACTTGAGAACAGTGGATATGGGCGTTTCAGACACATTTCTACCGTTCCAATGGCCGTGCACCACTCTTTTTAGCGAGCAAGCCTTTTTTTTTAATTTTTACGCGGGTTCCGCAACTAAGATTTTGTTCTTGTTCGATATTTTTTGTTCGTTGGTTTTCTTTGATCGTTCGGACACAATTTTCACATGTTTAGAGATCTGTTTTTGGATTGCAGAGACCCACTCACGCACACCAAAATGTATGCCTATCCTACGCACAGTTCGGCTTAGTAATATCCTACGCACAGTTCGGCTTAGTAATCAAAGTTACTTTGTTAATTTAGGGCTTTTTTGCGAGGGGCCTGAAACTCTTATCTGATATACCCATTCTTTTCTCCAAACTTTTTGGTGAAAGAAGCATTCGCACAAATAATGTTTTTTACACTTAAAGTTTTGGATGGCGCGGACGGGATATGCCCTGTCCGACGTCCCCATGCTTCCTTTCTGTGCTGACAAAAACGCGCTTTTCAACCAAAACTTTAAAAACTGTATTTCGGATAAATATAGGCAATTTGAATCACCACCGAATTTCGATCGCGTTCACGCTTTGGCAAAAAACGGTTTTCGGTAGACGAAAATCATCCAATCAAGTTCAGCCAATTCCGTGTTTTGAACTTTTTCCAGTTGCTAAGATTAACAAAAGAGAAAAGAGGTTTTTGGAGTTTTCGAACCCGGTTAAGGAGTCTATATTTTATGATCCATCAAAATCAGCTGATAGTAGAGTCTTCAAGAAGAAAACGACATAGGCGGGGTTCG